TTTATGTTAGTCGTGCCTAGGGCTTTATCAAAACTATTCCCCTGATAACGTGGAACTATTTGTAAAGTTATCCAGACCACATGGAAGTGGCAGCAGAATCAAACGTATGAACGAGCTCGGGAGCTTCCGCTTTTCCATCGCTAGCCGTGCGTCGAGCGGAAGATAGCCTTTACGACTCAAACAGAGGGATATGTAATATATAGAGAATGAGAAAGGGAAAAGGAGGGAGACTAGTTGGTTGTAATGTATAAAGTATATATATGGTTGCCGTACACCAGCGACCGGAGGGAGATCATTAATAAAGCAGGCAACGGTACCGCATATCTCTCTCCCCCTATTCCCTTCCTTATATATTCGAGTCATCGCTATATATAGAGCTATATACGTTGTCACGTATGCGAGCTTACTTGTTAATAAATATTATCTAGAAAAAATGAAAAAATTAGCTTGGAAGGAAATGAATTTAGCTAAAGTGTGTGCCTTGTTGCTCACGTCCTTGTAAAAAAGGAATGCAATGCTGGTGGTTTTATATATTGGCACAAAGAACAAAAGTACTACTGCGTCGATAATTGAAAAATATTGATTTTTTTTTTTTCTTAGTAGCAGTATTTGGAAAACAATGGCAATAGATGTGCCAAAGTACAATCTCAAGCCCAAGATTGCGAGTCCCCGATTTGTCACCCGTTAAGTTTCGTAAAAACGTGTAATTGCGACTCATTGTCGTTCAAAACCAGCCTGAAGTTCTAAGTTCCAATAACGGACGTTAATCAAATCGTCAGTTGCGAGCAGAGCGCGACGTCGGCGCAATCTCCCATCGTGCATTTGAAGATTCCTGCGACAAACGCCGAGATTACGTTTTCTCTCAACTCCCTTGGGAAATTGGGGGCATTAAATCGCATCCCCCCCTCTCGCATCCTCTTCGACTTTTTGATTTCGACGCAATGACGAAACGCGTGATCTTTCCTCGTCCAGTGTATAGGGTGGTGTCAGAGTTACAGGTTGTTTGGATGCTAGAGTAGACAAAACAATAATGCATTTGCAATATAAACTTGATTTTTGGTGACGAAAGGGAACAAGTCAAAGGCTCAAGAAGATTAAGTTTTCATTCATTCTTTTATCAATGGTAGAACACAAGTTTATGCTTATCTTTGTGATGATTAATTTATCTTATACTACAAGGCAAGTTTAATGTCACAATCACCTTTCAATTTCGTAAATTAGTGCGAGGTAATAATATTTTTGTTCGTCATCCACGAGATATCACTGCTCACTTTTTTTTTTATCATAACGACTTTTAAAAATAAAAACAGAATGCTTCAATGTTCTTATTCATACCTCTTGATTAGATATTTCGCTTCCACCGACGACCCTCGTTTTGAAATTTTTTTCAGAGCCACGGTAAAGTTCTTCGAATTTCCAATCCAAATTTTGGAACGCCACAATTTCAATGCCAAAAAAATGTTCTTGGCTTGTCTCCACGGGTTCGACTGTAATTATGGATGTTTCCCTCGATTTGGGGAAGCTTGTAATTAAATGAGACTTTCACGAGGGGGGTGGGGGGGGGGGCAATGAAAAGCCCCTTGGCTACGCAGACATTGGAGCACACACCAGTGGACGAAAGGGCAAGTTGCAGGGCGGAGCATGAAAATTTCGCCTCGCGTTTACCTAGCGCCACTCGTATACACACATTGGGCTATCCGCGTGGCCCGTGTTTACTCCCCTGTGTAAACGCATTACTAATGGAGGCAATTAAGCCCCGAGCAGACATCAAAGACCCGGGACTGGAAGTCACGAGGGAGGAAAGCGTCACGCAGATATAGGTACGCGTGTAGGAGACCAAAAACCGGGATTAGTTCGCGGCGAGTTTGACGCTTTGATATCGTCTCGTTCTCTCACTCTTTAAAATACAAAGCGACGCGGTATGTTTGCTCGGCGAATTGGTTTCCAATTCGATTCGGGAGTGGAGAGGAAGGGCAAGAAGGACCGTAATCCACGTGTAATCGTAAAAGCAACGAGAGTTTCTGGACAAACTGCGTGCACTCGTTTTGGCGCTACCACCCCCTACTCTGTCTCTCTCTCTCTCTCTACTTGTCTTTTACTGCACCTAATGTGTTTTTCCTATCGTTCCGCGATGATGTTGATGGCCCGGCTATATTGAGCCGAAGGGCTTTTTGTCCGGCAAGAAAGTCGCAATTGGCGTACAACAAGAAGAGCATACGCATAGGGGGGGGGACTTGGGAGTTGCGATCTGATAACATTGTTTGTACTCGACTATGCTTGAATGTTGGAATAGTTTAATGCGAGGGACAAATTTTTAAATCTAGTGTACGTTGCGTAAAAATTACTAGTCAAACGATGAAATGAAATACATTGCCAAGGCGTACACAAACTTCTGGTACGAAATGAAAGAAAGAGAAGAGCCAACGATTAATCACGTGGAAGAGAAAGACTCTAATATAGATACCCGACTTTATGATAAACGAGCCAAGAAGGAGGCTTGAAAGGAGGGAGAAGAGCATCGGAGGCCCACTGAAAAAGTTATATATCATAGGGACGCAAAATTATACATCAGCTTGACTCGTGGCTAATGCAAGTGCCCGAACACGAGTGTGCAACGTGAAGGTGAGGACGCACGTGTTATCGCGATTGCTCGCGCTACCGTGTGGTATGGCATTGGCTTTACGTCACATAGATTCACACGTGCCGTTGCCACGAGAGTGAGCGAAGAGGGAGTTGCTTTTTCTCTTCATACCTCGGCGTGTGTGTTCTCATTTGATACTCGTGAGGGCGATAATGGGAGGCTCAAATTCCTTAGTGGCGAGCCCATGAAGTGGCTCTTGAAATTCCAGCACCAAGAGGCGAAACCCCTCCCTTTTGACTGCAGGTGCTGAAGAATAAGATTTTTTTCTTCTCCTCACTAAAATAATAAAAAAAGGTGAACATTTAATTTTGCACAGTCAAATAAAGTACCAAGTCGATCCCGGAGATCTTATTTTTGTCATCATAAAATCCAATGAAAGAAAAAAAAAATTAGCACTCAGCGTCATCTTAATCATCTCACCCCTTAGGATGAAAAGAAAAATTATGAAACATAAACAGATAAGTAGCGCCTAAAATGAGCGAAAAAAATTGCCAAGCCGAGGCAGGAAAGGGGCAACAAAAAAAAAAAAGAGAGAGAAACGAGAACGTCGCAGATAAAAGACAAGAGAGACAAAGTGTGCAAGGGGGAAAAACAAAAGCGAGAGAGAGCAATTGCGGGGGACTGGGGAAAAAGATCAGAAAATGAGAGCGGAAGTTAATGAAGTTTTCATTCCCTTTTAACGTTTCCAAGCAAAGCGCGCGCTCAAGTGCCGGGGGGAAAAATACCGGGATGCCGTTTAATGACGAACCTCATTTTTTTTCTCTCGCGCTCTTGCTGGCCTCTTTGCACGCTCCTCGGCACGACAACTTGCTCCGCTACTGCTGCTTCCTACTGTTGTTATCCGCTGCCATTAAGAGGCGTTTATCATCATTGGATTTGTTAATTCAACGCACACCAACGTGCGCTCCGAGCTATACGTGAAACGCCCCATTTTTTTCTCTACACAATTTACCGGGATGGTATCCTTTTTTGTTTTTTTTTCCATTTGCTGTTAATTCTTTGTACATAGTAGCCCTTTGGGTGTCGAACGTTTCGGAGGTATTTTCCGAGCACAATCGGATAGAATTTTTTTTTCTACCTTACGCTATGAACGAAAGCTGAGAATTTTTATACGACGTTCAGCATCATTGTATAGCTGAACTACTAATCTGTAAATTAAAATTATGGTGATTACATCCAACTATAATTTTGATAGCATAGAAAATAAAATTTTACGATTATTCACATCCCTGAACATGATTGTATGGAAACATAATTTGTTTTGTCGTCACTACTGGCGGAATAATTTATTAAGTATATACGATTTTATTTTTATTTTTTGTCCTATGTAGTTTTTCAAAGCTTCTTTTACTTCGTGAAATATCACCAGAGCTTTTAAAAGTACTCTGTGCTTAAAGCAGTTTTTTTATGAAAGAAATCGTATATATGGTTTTAAAATTCGTAAAAAATATTACCCAGAAGTTCATACACGAGATTGAATTATTTTGGCATTTTTCCACGATAATCCCATCGTACAAAACACAAAAAAAATAAAGAAGAGAAGCAGTCACGGGGAATCAGCGAAACGGTTATTTAAAGTGCCTTAATCCAATTAGGACGTTCCACTGAGATTTTGGTCCACAAGTGGTGTTGCGGTGCTTAAGTCAAAGTAGTATCTTCCTGTGTACAGTTTTACACGTACGAGGTCAGTTACACGTTCAAAATGTACGTATAAACACTTCCGTGCACGTAAAGACATCATCTACAGACTCGAGCACAGCAACACCACTCATGAGACCCCACTTGAGCGGTACAGACACGAAGATTGGAGAATATTATTGGGCCTCTCTTACACCATTTATGTTTTGAAAAGCTATATGGAGAACATATGATTATAAAGTGTTGCCTGCAATGGCAATGCGTTCCCCCAACAAAGTGGCAAAAATTATCATATAACCACGTGCATCAGCCCTCTACTACTACATGGTCTGACATCACGCGCAGTGAACTACTGCCGCGTCAGCAGCTGTCTAATATACATGCGCGCAGCTGTTTGTTATGCCATGTTGTGGTTTGCTTGAAAATTTACGTCGTTTGCGCAGTTAGTTATGTAGGTCATTATTTTTAGGTGTCAACAATGATTTTCATTTGTTATCCAAACCATACACTTGGACACTGTCGCGGTAACACTGTCGAGATGCACTATTCGTGATGTTTATGATTTTTTTCTCGTCAAGTACATTATTGTGTGGATACTATAATATGATAAAAATAGCAAAATATATTTACTAAAATAAAACAATCGTATGCCATAATTCAAATATTTATTTAAGCTTGTCATGAAAATTTTCTTAACCGACAACGCAATTTGTTTTCCCAGGTCCACCAGGTCCTCCAGGACCGGCAGGCAAGCGCGGCAAAAAGGGAAAAAAAGGCGACCCTGGCGAGCCAGGCGCACCGGTGAGTTCTCACTTTAACACAACAATCTTTCGCTCCTTTGTAAGCTCGTAAAATGTAAAATTAGCGCGCATTTGTTTAAAAATCTTGATCATCAGTTGAAGCGTAAAATGAGTGCAAAGTACAGTACCCGACGTAACGTCAAGTGGCTCGTACTGTTCTGCATACTTTTTTTTACTCTTGATTTGATTAATCAGCTTATTAAATTTAATTGGTAATAAATGTAATGATTAAAAAATTAATCGTCGCAGATGTATGTTTTCATATCTTACAGCTTTTATTTTCTTAGTATTGCGAGTGATTAATTTTTTATCAATTAAAAAATGTATTTAGTTGTAGTTTGTTTCTTATTTATTCTGCATGACAATTAAATGAAATAATTATAGAAAACGTGGATTAAATTGCTAGCGATTGGCGTCAATTTTTACTAACATTCATTTGTAAATAGATTGTTTTTGTTGTTCTGTCGTTGCTGTAAATATTTGTAAAAAGTATCATTAACAATAAAACAGTCAAAATAAAACGTAGGGATAAAAAAAAACTCGGTCTTTGCAAATTTGCCCCCAAGTAAAACAGGTAATTGCTGGCTCCGCTTTAATGAACCGCGCCCCTTTACTACTGAACATCATTTAAAATACATGCAAAGTAGTAGCAGCTGCTTTCCGTACACAGGCAATTCGTACATTTGTACATGTAATAGAATGTACCTGATAAAAATGAGATTACGAGCTACCGATTCTGAAATGCAGTTAATTAACATGCTTTTTCTTTGAATTTTATTTTGCCGGTTAGTTTAAAGTAGCGAAATTAATAATGTTTGTTACATAAGTTAGTAAAATCATAAGAAAAAAATCCAGATAATAGTCCGGAGCAATGTCAACAATAAAGTAATTTTATGCATGTTAGTAACATAATGTAATATAATATAGCGCATGACATAGATCAGTAGCTAACCGTATTATTTTAATATTGTAATAACACTTCTTTCAGGGTGTGGCTGGTACGCCAGGCATGAATGGTTTTCCGGTATATTATTTTTTGATTTTCCTTTGTTTTACTACTTCTGGCTTTCTTTTTTTTCTCCTTACCTTTTTTTTTTTTTTTTTTTACATTTACGTACATAGTTTACTTGCGTTTGATTTGAAATTTGTTTTCCCCTACATTATCCTCGAGGTTGGGATTTGCTTCCAAATAAGAACATAGGTTGTTAAAAAAAATATTGGCAGTGCAAGCAAAAGTGGGGAAATATTTAGAAGGATTTAAGGTTTTGGGTTGTCAGCAAAAATAGTGTTTTAATTTTTAATGGAATTTCAGGGACGAAAAGGCGAGACTGGCGATATCGGACAAATGGTAAGGATGATACAAATACTCAAGAAAAATAGACGATCTTTAGTACTAATAAAATAAATCCTCGCCAACATCGCTTTTCCTCAAGCAAACTTCATCACTTGGTAAAAAAATATAGTGTCTTAAAAACATTTATAGAAATAAAATAATTCAAACTAAACTAAACGATAAACCTAAGATAAGAATTTTTTGTTCATTTGTTGATGGTCATTTTTCAAACCTAATGCAGTGCAAAAATTAAAGCTAAAATTTTAAAAGATAAATTGCTCGAAAAAAAAATTAACTTTACTTCATCATTCATACGGTAGTCATTTTTTCACTTTATAATTTTTATATCTGTACCTATCTAACTTATTGTACTCGATTATTTTAAATATCCATGTAATAAAATTCATGAAGTTTGTGCAATTATTGAATTCACAATTAATATAATATGTTGAACGTATTCGACTATTATTTTTATTCAGAGTTAGTGAAGCTAGATTTGTTTGACTTTTAAGAATATAATGAATTCGTTAGAAACACGTGAGTGCTTCGCTTTGATGTCTAGCGTTGGTTTCCGCTCGGTACATCACTGCAAGGAATCTATTTCAACTAATTAATTCGACTTTTCGTGAAAAAAATGTGACGTTTGTCTTAAAATATTTTAAGTGAATAACATTTAGAAAATTTCTAGTTAATTAATACTTGGGCTAACTTTTGAAATTATTAAGACTATAGATTTTGGATTTTTAACGTAGGCATCATTATATTCAAACATCAAGTGTTTGTAACATCATATACGATTAACCACGTGATAGTTTTAAATATTTTAATCAATAGAATATCTTAAAGCGCATTCTCTCTAAGAAACCAATAAAATATAAATTCATACAATCCAATGCAAATCTTGACGGCACAATGTACGCCATAGAGTGAAACATTTTATCTACTTTGTGAATAAAAATTATCAATGCTCGTAAAATTTCGAGGAAACTTTTAAAAAATATGTAAAAAGTGAAATAAAATAATACACAAGAACCTAGAGATGACGCCAAGTGTGACAGTTGCTACGTTTGTTACAGGGATCTTCCGGACTGCGTGGCTACCCTGGGTTCCCGGTTCGTTAATTTCACGACTATTTCCCTCGTATGATCAAATTATCAACACCAGCTAATGATTTACCCACAAACAAAGACATACATCACGCGTGATGTCATCGAACACCTTTGTCCATCATTGACACGTTTGGCAATCTTCATTCTTATTCTATTGTACTTGTTCCGTTTGCAGATCTCAACACCCTAAGAATCAATTATATCCCAATATTAACTTATGCAACCTTTTTTTTTATAGGTAGTTCCCTTGATAAATTATCACGAAGCATAATCTTTCAATTTTTTCATGAAATTCACGCGAGATTTCTAGGGGATTCAATACGTCTTCCTTATATCCTGTGTGTTGTTTGCATACGACAGTAACCGATACATGGGAAGACAATAAAACAATGTGAACGTCGCTAAAGTTTCTCGTTTTTCTCCATTGATCGTAGCAGGTAACTTTCACACTTTATAACTTGCAAAGTGACATGAATCTTAACAGAAAAGCGGGATGGTTACCGGAATGCATATTTCAGTCCTCCATGGCCTTCTACGTATATACCTGTATATACTCTCTGCCTCAAGCTCAACGCACCGACGACTTTTCCCGCTCAATTTCCCCCTCCCAGCTTCCCCCCATGTAACATAACCTCGTCCCATTTGGTACTGACACCGTGTGGCAAAGATATAGAAGCTCCCAGCCCCCCGAAGTCAGGGAGTGTTTTCCACAGCGGTGACAAAATGCACCTCCCAGTGCTGGTGGTATACCTATACGAATGCACGCTATCTGGGCGCTCTCACCCTCGTCATATCGGCTCGCGGTCGGGAAAACTTTCGAGACGACGTGTGCGTTGTCTACCCTATGGGACTGCGTGGTAACATTTCGCAACTAAGTATAAATTTATGAAAGCTGAGATAGCACTTTCCGCGCTTCTCTGCTGTAGACAGATGATGCCCGCGCATTTTGGCTGCTGCGGCGAAGTTTCGCGGGGAATCGGTCTCTTTTAAACATTCGAAAATGCCTTTGTACTTTCGTAACTGCTGGGGTTACCACTTGGATGTTGGCAAATATTTTGCTTTGATTTGACACGGTGATTTTTGCAACACATTCGGGCTATAAACAATTGTTGAAAAGACGTGATTGTTTTCTGTTTGTTTCTTTGAAAAATTTAAATTTTGTTTTTATTCAAAAGAAACTTTTTTTTTAATTTAATGCACATCTAAGATGAAGCAAATTTTTGAAACAAATTTTTTTAACTACATTGTGCGATTTCGTCGATGAATCTGATTTATAAATGTTAGATGAAAAAAGGCACGTTATGATTGTCTCGTGGCCATTGTCTAAATCGTCTGCTTAATCAAGTAATTTCGTTGTACATGACAAAATCTCATAACAGAATTGTGTTTGAATATTATACCAGGAGTCATTGACTATTTTTTTAAATTTATATTTTCCATAATTATTTGCAATACAATAACATACTCATGTTGGAACGTCAGTATGATACAGCTCTTCGTAGGCTGACAATGAAAATTAATATCGACTATAAACCGGTACCACGGAGCCTCACTCCGAAAAATAATTAATCAGCCCCTCAATGGCTAAAAAAATGAAAATACTAATCAAAACTCAGCGTGGAAGAGAAAAAAAAACAAACAATCGTACTTCCCCTACACTGTTGATCGTATACATACCATTTATCAAGTTTTGTCACGCGACCAAAGCGTTGATTGAAATTGAATAACCACTCGAGTAGGTGGGAGGCTCCAATCTGTATGTTTGGTTTTCAAAATGAAACACGCTTCAAAAAATTTTTGTCCAGCATCCAATGGATCTATATAATCGCGTAATTCGTTACGCAGACATGGGTGCGTGGTGATGTGGAAGGAGGGATGATATCGCTGTTTGTGGGCTAAAGAGTAAAGACAAACAAAAGCGTGACGCGAGAGAAGTGCGAGTGAGTAAACAACAGAGTTAATAGAATCGAGGTATGGAGGAGGATAGATGTACGAAGTGTATTTTGTTTCAAGCTAAAGGACGTTTGTATTTAAATTAAAAGGGTTTTGTTTCAAGTTAATTTCATACCCTGACTTGTTGTGTATATAATATAACATATGGTTAAATACATTTTTGTGTAACATACTGCAAGTTGATATTCCAAAGTAAATAATGAAGTTGTAATTGATATTAAAATTTTTTTACAATCAACATAAATATATATACAACTGTTTTTTAATTAATCGTGATTTTTTTCATTTTGCTCGTTACTTTTTATCTATATTGGCACAACCGTACCAGCCACTATTGCCAAAGATGGTTGATAGTCTTCAAAATGCCCTATTTTTTTCAATTGTTCATGAGAATGATGTGATTTTTGTATTGATAAAAGAATATATTTTTGTCTTTAAATTTAATTCAATTATTTACCAACTATATTTGCTAAAAAAGTACTCAATATAATAATCAATAATGTATTTGGAAATTATGTGTCGTCATAAATAAAAATTAATTATTTCAAATAAAGAGTCATTAACAACTCTAAACGTTACAAAATTTGGTATTTTCACGAATTAAGAAAAATGGTTGAATTAAAATAAAACAAATTTCCAGGTACATCATCCAGAAGCATTAGAACTATTCAAAGCATACGATAAAAGACAAACTGTTCGATGACTCACATTATTCTGAGATTACACGTGTCGTTGCCCAAGTCGTTTGTGTCCCTTTACGCTATCTACTCATTTCATCTTAACTATACACAAGAATGTGCAAAATGATCACATTCGAGCATCTGGGCATGCTCACGAATCATGTAACATATGTATTTTGTATTCTGTTCCAGTAATGAAAACACACATGGTGATGGGCTCTCGCACACATAGAAACGTGGGAATGTGATGATTACATGACTAGCTCAGCTTAGTCGTGAATTTTATATTTTTTTTAGTCAATATTCAAATAAGCTGTCGTAGATTCAAGGAGCTATTGTGAATATGTCTTGCATTGCCAAACTTTACTAACTCATGAGTGTTTCGACTCGTGCTTTATTTAACGTAACATAACATTGTTTTAATGATTCACGATAGTATGTAGAAATTAGCTTATTTACGCGCTCGTGATGTCGATTTTAGATGAAGTGTATTAAAAATAAATAATTAATTTTAATGTAAAATCGACACGTGAGCTCGAACATGATTTGTCACGCTGAAGTAGTTGTAGAAGTTTGTTGTAACCTTTAGATCTCAACAGTAGTGCAATTAATCGTATTTGGAAGCATTCACAAACATTATTGGTGATTTTCATCATATTTATGGGGATATTCCTGTATTTTTTTTCCCTTTTATTTATATTTCTTTATTTTTCAAGGACTTTTTTTATATAAATCTTCTCTTTAGTTTTTCTTTTTCATTTTGTTTGACCGGAAAAAATAACGTAAATTTTTCATTTTCCTCACTTTTCTACACCATTTCTCGTAATAACTGATTGACAAGCTACTGATATCAAACATTTTCTTTTTTCAGGGACCCATCGGAATGGATGGACCTAAGGGAGATGCAGTAAGTATGAGACATTCTTTTGGAAAACTATAGGAAAAAAAGGGCCATCGGTCTAAATACAGTTTTTTAACAAGTAGTTTCCCGAAATCAAATGGCTTTCTCGTTTCCAACCAATCACTTGCGTCGACAGTCTCGTACTTACACAACACCAAGGACCATAACTGTATAGTCGAGCTTGAAAAACGCGAGTCCACACAGGTAGAGTAGAAAATACGGTTCGCGTATAAAAGATCGGAAAATTCTCAGGGCTTGCAACCGCTGGCTGTTGCTGCGTTCGACATCTTTTACCGAGTACTTCGAGAAAATGCCTTACGGACGAAAGGGTTTCCCCACGCTGCTCTGTGCCGAAATAAATATTGCCGTCTTTGAAAGACGAATTTTTTCCTTTTACGTAATGTCTCACGAGTTTCGCAGTTATGTTTGTTGAGCAGTTTTTTTTTTCTCTAAAAATTCTAAGTATTTAAAAAAAAAAAATGGTACTTTTGACAGGGCAACACTAATGGAGAGTACTTTATTTTAAATCGGAACAATAAAAGTAGACATAGTGAGTGGCAATTCTGATTACTGCGACTTGAAAATGTAATGTGCTCTTTAAAAAAATGGCCTAACTTTCATATTGCATTTAAGATTTAGTTTATTTTATTCGTCGATTTTTGCCGTTATTTCTATGTGAAAGGATTCGCTTGAATGATTTGTTAAATACACGTCGGATGCAGTATTATAAATTTTGAAAGTAACGATGCGTACTTTGAAAGGTGAAATAATTATTTTTGCGCAAGTAAATCTTTAAATCATTAAATTTTTGAATGAAAATCGGACCAAAGCACACAGTGATCGATGAAAGCCCAAAACAACAGCTCCCGTGAACCATCAGTCCGATACTACGCCATTGTTTCTCCAAAAAAAAAAAAAAACAAAACAAATAGAAATAATCGTATAGAAACGGAGAAAGACCAATGAGTTAAGACACTCCCATATATAAATGTGCCGCTAGCCTCTAATGGGAAACTGATTTTGTCTGCCGCAGGGCCGGCCAGGTGACAAAGGACAAAAGGGAGAGTCCGGAAGCCCAGGATTCGACGTATTCTCCGCAGTAAAGGTATCTATTACAATGGTATCTCGTAAATCAAAAGCCGCGGCTTCTGCGCACACATACATACACACATATATAGCGTTACCTCCTCATTTATCCCGTACTTCCGGCAAACATCCTACATTCAATTGAAAATGTCCCTACATACTCCTCCGAGCTCCTGTTCGTGTGCTGTGAGTGTACGCGCGCGCGTTCGCGTTACGCTCGATTTAATTGGTCGTAGGGCTTTTAAGAAGAGACTACGAGAAGTGCATCGGCTGCATCCCATGCGTAATGTATACCAAGACTTTTGTATCGAGTTAACGAGCCGCATCAAAACGAAGCGGTTTAATAACGCGTGGTTGGCGTTTTTAACTTTCAATGTCTCCCTCGAGACTGCGATGATGAATCGAATTTCCTTTTCCTATACGTCACATCGCATATTATTAATTTACGGTGATTCTTGACAAAACCACCAATCCTAGTATAGGACAACCACGGAAACAGTAAAAAAAAAAAAAAAAGTAAATCGTAAAATCTCCGAAACAACAATTTCGTTTATAAAAAGTTGAAATCAAATTTAATGTTATAACCCCAGCTTAATGTAAAAAGTTCGAGTTTGCCGTGGGTGGTAGATGCGGCAACAAAAAAAAAAAAAAAGCTCTCATTTCACCTAACAACGATCATAAGGTATTTTGTAGAAGAAAAGGAACATCAAGGGCAAAGGGGTGGGACAGGATAATAAGCTCCCGAAATGCCACGAGCATAGCAGCGTAAAGCCTCGGGTGCAAGCTCGGAACTCTCCCGACGAAGAAAAAAAAAAAAAAAAAGTCTAAAAAGTCTGCGGATCCGCGCTTGTTTTTTTTATCTCCCCTTCAACCCTATACGGGCACTTTTGTCGAGGGTACAGCGCACGGGGTTGCAAGTGTACCCATACCCACCGTATACCTATTATACGTAACAAGTGTAGCACAACACCGCAACGTAAACGCGGGCGCGCACTCGTATACGCACACTTTTTTTATGTTTTCCCCTTCCCATTTCCGATACACGCTATGAATAAAATTTCCATCGCATTAATACAGGAGGTGAGGAGTTGGGGGGGTGGTGAGGTCACGTTGTGTGTTCACGGCAATTGTTGTTCGCCGACGTCAGCTATAGTGTTGCGTCACGTCTATACAGACGTTACGGTATTTGAATAATTTCAGAGATGACTATCGAAGAGTCCGTTGAATATTTATGTGAAAACAAAGACGCTGCTGATACATCTCTGACGTGATGTATATATAGACGCCGGGCTTGCAAGCTGTATACGAACGGACACATGCTGGCCTCGTTACCGAAGCCCGTACACACGACGTGTGCTCGCTCCTTCTCCTCCTTGTTTGATGCGAGCGATGTAAATCTTCACTTGATTCGCAAATGATTCGTAGATTTGCCGGTGATTCAATAAGGAATTCCACGTTGATTCTCGTTCGATTGCAATATTCAATATATTTCACAGGGTGGATCGCCGGTCGATCTCTGCTAAAGCGATTTCATAGAGACACAGTCGAATAAATTTTACATTATTTGTTTAATGGTCGTTGAAAAAATATAATATGTACGACGCGGGTTTGGTCGTACAATGCCGGCAATCAGAGCGCGAAGTATAGGCAAACGGTCGCTATATGTGTGTACTGTACGAGTGATTTGTATAACACGTTATGTGAACGAAATGAAATAAAATGAAATATATAATATCTGCCAATGTAAGAGAAACAAAAGAAATGAACGAAATTTTCTGCGCCCACGGGTCAATGCGCAGGGATTGGGGTTAAAGAGGTCGGTGACGACGCTGCGCGGCGGCACGCTCGGATATGCGGAAATCGTCGCGCTCAAGGTAACCGAGGGCCTCAAACACCGCTCGAACTCTCATAATATGTTGTAGCTCTTTTGTTTTTATTTGTTTTTTTTCTCTTTCGCTCTTTTTTTTCTATTTACATTTTAAAGTAACTTTTTTTGGTTTTTATTAATTTTTTTTTTAGTGTTTTTACCTTGTGATATTTCAGTTATACATGCGTGAGAGCCTTCGATGCTCATCATTTTGTTTATTGTTGATCTAGCGGTGCTTTCGGTGTTGTTATCATAATTCATGATTGTTGTTGTTGTTTTAAAATTTTTTTACTTTTGGTGGTTTCTTGAGTGTGCTACGGTGCGACTAAACTAGTTGACGAACGCGTATTTTGAAAATTAATTTTGGTGCCCTTTATTTTCAATTTTTTACGAAATTTCTCATCCATTGAAGTACTTGAAACTCAATGAAAACAAAGAACAAAATACGCGTTCGTCTGCATTACTTTAGGTAAAATTTTTGTTAAGCGGCATGCTTTGTTCAGTAGTTGAAATTAATTACTTGGGTTGTATTATTACTTATGCATGGTTTTTTCAACATGAATATTTTGTAGATACATTTCTATTAGCTGTACGAATCTACAAATTAACGATTCACTCTTTTCATACACATTTTTAATTTTACATTATTTAACATGAATTCGCGGTTTAAAAATTAACTATGTATTTAGTCAAGCTGAAAATTTTTAATGAAAAACGTATTTAGTCAAAAATATCATTAATCAATATTTTCATAAAAACGAGATGAATCACCTTGATCTGTTTTCTTAAAACAAAAAACGTAAATTCATTTTTTTCTAAAAACTTGAAAACAAAATTAAAAGTCGCTTCGTAGCTACACATATTTTCTAGTTTTAATTGGTAAAGGTTAGACAGTTACGGCTACAATACTTTGGATTACATCTTAGGTGTATATTCTTTGGGCATGTCAGAGTTGAAAAAAAAAAAAAAAAAAAAAAAAAACGATGTGATACCACGAGTACCTTATAGTATCCAAAAACGATGCGACTAGTCCTGTTCGTCCAAATATCCCGTCTCCATTTCTCTCTTTGGTTAAGATTTTATTTATTTCCGTTATACTTGATTTATTATGTAGCTATTTGGTTTTCACCTGTAGTCAACCTACTTTCTAGGAACTTCAGGCGCAGGGACTAAATATCACCGAGCAGCAGATCATTACGCTCAAAGTAAGTTGCTTGTACCTCAGGACCCGCATAAGCTCACTATTCTTATTTATCATCCAGAGGCTCGCTGTCACACCTGTTTGCTAAATACTTGTCACAAATATACTTGCTGCCCAAAAAAAAAAAAAAAAAAATGATTAGTTTAATAAAATTGCAACTTTGTATACCGCGTATGATTTAAAAAAAAAAGTCACAGCTGATAAAATCAAAATAAGTATTAATATTATAAGATATGTGTGCCGTGTTCACGTACAATATTTCACGAGTTGTTTATTGTAACCCCTTTGAAAATTTCTCATATTTTTTTTCTGTTCACTTTACTATTTATTCCCTTTTTTTTTTTTTTATATTTCTTCCTGACCTATCCACCTTCTGCACGATAAAATTCATACCTGAAGTTTTATGGAGATTTGAGTGCATAAAATAGTAGTGTGAGAAGCAAAATGGATGTATTTTGTGACTAGCACGTTAAATTTCTTTATGGCATGACTGTATGTTGTATATCATTCCATGCACAGCACATCGTTTTTCTTTTACAAAATAAAGTCACTGGGGAGAAAAAAATTTTTTTTTACTACACATTTCAAGAGATATGCGATGTTTTTTACGATTAATTTTGAATGAAATATTTTAAATACACTTGATAATAACGTATTGAGAGCTTTTGTTTCGCGAGAACAAGTCTCTTGATTACTTGATGAAAATACACCGTCGGGTCACACTTACTCCACGATGGCTTTCAAGAGCCAAACAAATGTACCATATGTGCATGGAATTCATAGGGTGCACCAATGCTCGTTGCGTTGCCTTTTTTTGTTGTATTTTTTCTATCTTTCGTTTTTGTTCACTTTGTTTTATTACTATTTATTTTTAATGTAGTATGCATGCGTTACTTTTTCACTATACTCGCATGAAGTGCTAATTAAATTTAAGGGTTTGATCAAACATTACTTTATCTTTCTTTATTCCATATTTATAGTACATGGTTCAATAAAGGTAATTACTGAAATAATAATTTTATACAGCTTGTCTTATACATTATGATAAAAATATATGTCAAAAAAATTATTAGTTCTCAACCAAAGTGATTTCTGCATTAAATTTTTGATCTCACCATGTACCCATATCTCATTTTTAAAATTGTTTGCACAATTTTTACACTAGAAAGTCATAAATATGAGCATAAAGAAAGGTTTTGAGTTTTATCAAGGTAATTTTATTTTATTTTTTTATTTTACTCTCCACAAACATCAGTTACATAATGAAAGTACAAGATGTCAATTACATCTAATATTTTTATAACTCTGTAACTATTTGCGTTGAATTTTCCATACATTGAGTCATTTCAACCGAGAAAATTTTTTAAAAATAATTACAAGTCCACAAAATGCCCGATGGCGCATATAAATGCAAATATTTAATTCAATTTTAAATTTCAATCACCCATGACGGTGCTTTGGACCATCAAACTTCATTTCTGCCAACCGATCGATCAGCTTTAAGAAGCTTTATCGCGTGAAATAAACATGGAAAATTCAAAACCCTCCACCCCTATTTCCCCGTGTCCAGACCAGCTTCCCAGAGAACCCGACTTAAACCAAAACTACGTATGCCGCTAGGGCGAACAGGGCGAGCCTGGTCCTCCTGGGCCTCCTGGTCCCCCAGGAGTCGAAGGGATCGCCGGTCACGACGGACGGCAAGGGTCACCCGGCGAAGTGGGGCCTGCCGGTGAAAAAGGAGCGCCGGGGCCTACGGGGCCTGAAGGGCCTCAAGGACCAGCAGGAGTTGCCGGAACTAAGGTGAGTTTTCGTTACCTGTACGTTTTGTTGGATCATCGCGATCGGTGGTGCCATCGTGATTGTGTGTGTGTGTACAAAAGTGATACCAAAGCGTATTAGCAATAAATTATAAGTCTCATGAAGCGAAATCATGTAGGGTTAGCCGAAAATGTTTTTGTTTACCGTATAAGTGTGATGGTAAATTTACTTAGCAATTTTTCTAATGTAATGTTTGGCATTCTGTGGGTAAAATTCAACTTCACTTATCCATACAAAGTCTTTGAAGTGCTTAATTTGTTCCTGTGAGTAAAATGTTTACTACCCGTGCAGACATTACCTGTTTCATGCACTTGTAGCATAATATAATTTTTTTTAACCCTTGTTTATAAATGAAGTTTATTTGTTGTTTTTAGTTTGTGAAGTATGACTTCAAATGCAAGTGTGCGTCTAACATATTTTTTGTCGATCGGTGTGTATGTGCCCTACATTTATAAAAAAAGTTGATTGAAGTTAATTTAAATTGTGATTTCTACATACTTTATCACTGAATGTCGAAAAATAGTTATGAAGTACTCATCGAACGTATTTAAAAAATGACGTATCGATTTTGACATCAAATCATTCCTTAGGGTGAACAAGGAAAGTACGGTGCTCCAGGACTACCAGGGCTACCGGGATTACCAGTGAGAAAGTTATTTTGTTGGGATATCTAAGGCTCGCCACTCTTTCAATAAAGTATCCACGAACATTTTTTCATTTCCTCGAATATATTACAAGTTAAAGGATACGGACATGACTGGAAAAAACTACTTGAAAATTTTCATTCATTTTTTATAAATTATTATAAACGTTATCAAAAGTAAAAAGCTTGAAAAAAAATTTTTAAGTAAGTCAAAATTAAATTCTACAAATCAAATTAAGTTTAATTTTGTGAACAAAAATACATGCAATAGGCACACGGTGAAGAGTTGATGAAAAGATGGTACGAGATCGGCAAGAGTGGCATGTAGATTTGTAATTTGAATGCTTATTACTACCCTTGGGGGATTCTCTTGGAAGAATATTCCAATCCCTGCTTTAGACGCGCTATTTCTGCGCATTGTTCCTCTCTTTCTTTGCCCTTTCCAAAGTGGGATAACATAATTCATAATGATAATTTTCACCCGAAAACTAATCAAAATATTGTTTACACCATCACTTCCTTTTCTCGGACAAATTATTATTTTTCACTTTAACAACTGATTAAAATCTAACGATGAAAAAATAATTTATCTAGAAAAATGAAAAAAATATATCTACAAAATTATAGCACATTGCAAGGTCGAGCAACAAAAATTGGAAACAAAACAGCGCGTCGGCGCGCAGTGCTTATACATATCCAAAACCCAGTCCACATTTTCCGGGTGTTGGTGGTACAAGCTGCTTCTGCGACCCCATTTCGGTTGACCATCAGCCAAGCACTGTGAAATTTTGCGTGCTCCCATGTACAAGATTTTCGCGAAGATACGCTCGAGATATACACGAAAGCGCGGATGCTGCAGTTTGAAATAATCCATTCGTCCCCGAACGCTGTGATGTTTCGGGATATCTATTTGTTAATTAAATTTTCGATACCACTGCAGTGAAACATAGCCGTTCGACAAAAAATCTGAAATTCACTAAAGATCGAGGTAAAATGGCAGAGGCCGATACAACACATCCTATAGCGGTGAAAAAAAAATCTTCATTAACATTCACGCTCTCCGTGGCGTAAGAGCGCCCGTAGTTTCTCCCTTTCTCCCATCCATTAAAACGCGCATCAAACAACACCAGCACAGCGTATAATTTTCGCGAAAGAAAACAGCCAGCGCTACTCTTCAAAGAGGAAAAATCCAGCTCTCTTTCCCTCGCGCTACAGTATACCTACGTATACACGATCTAGATAGAGCGTCCATGACTGCATGAGTGGTACAGCCGAGAGAGAGAGAGAGACAGGCTCTGCACACATAAAATACGCGCATATATATACGCAGCGCTCGGAGCGCGCAATTAACCTATGCGCCTCACTGATGCAGCCAATATAATCTTTTGATGTCATCGATCCCGGGCGCCTTCCTAGTCAGGAATAACAGCCTCCACCCCCCTTCTCATACGTTTGTGCACTGCGCCAACTATGAATTAGCAACTCCCGCGGACTAATTAACATGGTACAAGCCGTTTAATCCCGCGGCTGGCATCGAAACTGCCCGTCCTCTCACTCCCCATCGACTGCTCGCCTTTAATTTGCTTTTCATTTTTTGTTTGATGCTGTTTTTTCGAGGAGCCATTTTCTCCAGCCATCTGATTGACCGACCCGAACCTACTTTACCTACCCCCCACCATTTTCTAGACTGGTACTCGCTCTCGGATAAAGGGCACTGCGGCAAATATGCCTTCTAGAATGTAATTGCTTTTCTAACAACCCCCAACCTATACCTGGCTCCGTGTTTACAACAAAAAAAATTTTCTAAAAAAATAGCTTATTAATAATGCCATACTCCCGAACAATATTAAAGTGTTACTTCAACGATCTTATATTATTAAGTAACATTTACAAGTGACGGTATGAAAATTGTAATCCATTTAAATAGATAACTGTATAAATGTATAACTATACGCAACTATAATGATTTCTTTGAAATAAATGTATACTTTAATTAATATTTTTATTTTAAAAAATATTTAAAAAATGGTTTCTACGAGAAAATTCCACAGTACATTTTAAATAATTATTTTTGCATTTTCAAAACATTATTTACCAATAGTAATTAATTTTTAATAAATAAATAGATTGAAGGGACAATAGTACCAAATATTTCCTTCTTTTTAATAATAATTTGATATTATTAAATTTTTTTATCTGTGTAAGAAGCAATTGCCGATCAATACTGATTATACTGTGGTTTTTTAAATTAATATCTTACAATCGAAATACTATTACAATATTATGGTGTTAAATCGTGTGATACTAACGAAAGTGATGGTATATTTATATACATATTATTACAACGCAATTTTTTTCTTGGTAATAATATGTGTCACCTCTTCTTATGACCCGAACTGGTCATAGAAATCTGATCAAAGCTCCATTCGTTATTTCGTAAAATTTACTTATGATATAATATAGAATGTATATATTATACGTGAACTCTCGCTCTGGCATATATACTTAATATACTTATTGGTGGTGGCTATACTGAGCATAATTCCCCAGAAACTCTTGAGTTGTTTCGCATTCCCAGGGTGGCTTAATTGCGCAGAGACTAGGCTAAGGTGCTGGATATTGGGAAAGCAAAAAAAAAAATTTCTTTTCATAACTGTTAATGTAATTTTTTTTTTTCTTCACGTTTTCTTAGGGCGATAAAGGCGACAAAGGCGAGCGTGGCTTGACGACGTCGATAAACGGCGAGCCATTTGCTACGGGTGTCATCGAGGGTCCGCCTGGACCCGCAGGACCACCTGGTGAGTACATAGCCTGGTAGTGTATATTTATAGGTGACGTCTAATAGATTGTTATTTGTGATAAGTACGAACGCTCTAATGTGGGCTGTTCTTTTTGTCTCATTTCATTATATCCTTTTTCTGTTTTCTATCGGAGCGACCTGTAAGTATATCAGGCGCCAGTGTATAACGCCTGCGCGGACCTTAATTGATTGATCAAATTATACAATTATTCTCATTTATTTACTTGTTTTTGTGTTTTTTTTTTTCTCCGTTACGTTGGCATACATTTTTAATTTTCACAACAAATGATCGATGGTGTATCATTTGGAGCATACAATATTTATTTTACCATCAAATGAATGTTCAAAACGGTGTGTCATTCAAACATAATGGATGACGTGAATACCTTTTTCTGACCGTGTTTTTTTATATTAACAGAACTACAATATGTCTTACAGGTATTTAATAATTTTTTTTACTTATCAGTAAATATTCAAAAATTTTATATTATACATAAAATAGATAATATTGAAAAAAATAATTTTTTATAAACAATGCTATTTTTACTCTTAGGATCATTTATTAGTTTTAAGTGAAGTATCATTCTTTTTCTTTTTATGATGTGTAATTAGCAAAGAATTAAAAAAAAAAATGTATTCAGCCCCTGTTATCACGTATAATTTAAAACACAAGTACACTGCATTTCAAACATTTTATAGTTATAAACTTATTATTTAATTTTTTTTTTTCAATTCTGGAGTACATTAAAATTATTTTATAGTATCAAAACCTAAAGCTTCACTGATAAATCGAGAATTACAGTACACTGTGGATCACTTTAAAAAACTAGAACGGGACATAAGTATTTAAACGTGAAAAAAATTAACAACCGAATTCCCAATAACTTTTTAACAAAAAAAATTGTTATTGTCACTAAGTATATTACAAACTTTCGTTAAAATTGTTAACTTCCCAATAATGTACCTTTTCATAGGGTATTAAAAATTATGATCATTAGTTAGTCACAAAGACTCACATTAATTATTAAAAATTACTCATTTTTCTTAAAATTTTTTAGAAATTAAATACGTATACTTTCACATCTTCATTAATCTAAACGAATGTTCAAACAAATCCCACTATATTAGATAGAAGTACATGAGGGTATTCATGTTTAGTAATTTTATTGGATATTTTTTCAATAATTATACTCTGAAAATGTAAAAACGAAAAACCCAGCTAAAAAAACGTGGAACGCTTTTCAAAAACACTCCAACTCTATTTGAAAAATTTCGCCACAGCACCGCCAACTATTCGATGAGATAATTGGTTTTCGTGCTCTTCGAACTTTAAATCAAACTCCTCCCTCTAACGTTTAAAACTCCACCGTCAATCAGCAAAGTTCTTCAAAGATCAATTGCGACTCTCAACTTATTTGCGCAGTGATTATCGATCGGTTTGCACTCCGAACGCCACTTTATGTCTGTTTTACTTTTCGCTCCCGTTAATGCACCTTTCAGAGCTTTTTTCTCTCTTTTTTTCCTCCCATCCCCCTCAAGTTTTCATCTTAACTCAATTTCCGCAAAAGGGTTTATTCTCTCGACAAACTAGCCACCCATTCCAATTACCTAGACGAAGACATAATTTTCATAGTCTTAGTATACCGAAACAACGTCACACTCCTACAACAATTCTTTGTGCAATTCTTCAAATTTGCCTGTTTTGGAGTCGATGTACTTCAGATGGTCTAATTCAGTTAATTTCATAGTAAAAAATAGGTGTATTTTTGTTCAACGTTGTACGATGTGAAACCAGACCAGCCTCTACAAAACGTTTTCCTCAACTTTCTAGACATCCAACCGCGAGCTTCTCGTGAATTCACTCACAATAAATACACGTTTTCGTTTGAACCCGCCCTTGTGTTTCCACAAAACGTGGGTCCGTCTGCTTGTGCATACAAACGCGTTCATCTCCATGAGTTTTTCCGCCTTTGCTGCAGGTTACGCGTGTAAATGCGATTCAGTGGCTTCGTTCATAGACGCTCGTGCTACTTCGTGTTGTTTTTCGCTGCCATTGTTGCGCTGTTTCTCCCGCAACCACGGCCGCAGCTTCTCCCTTTGAATTGCAAACTTTCGCCAGCCCCGGCTCAAAGTTGATCAAGCAAATTGAGGAAGCCCAAAACGTTGCTGCTCCTTTTACACATTAAGTATATACAACCCATCTTTTGCCTCTCTTCTCTTTTTGTCAAATTTCCATGTGCATTTATCCGGGAGGCGCGAATAGACTCGGGCGCCAAGCACGCACACTTTCAGTCTTTGTGTGCGGTGCATATTAGGTTTTATTGTTCCGAAAGGCTGGTTGTAATTGTTCATTCTGGTAGTTCTCTTTTCGATTGTTTTCGTCTTTTGGACTGGTTTTCTTGTCACAAATAGTACGTGAGTAGTTTTTTCACTACTCCAAGTTTTTCAAATATTAAGTACAATCTAAAAGTTCCTAAAAACGTTATTTGGTCATTTTTTAATCTGGAATATCTTACAATCGAAATACTATTACAATATTATGGGAAGCTATGTGGTAATTATTAAAAAAAAATTTTCTAAAAAAAAGTTGATACATTTAAATTCAAAAAATTCAGTAGTATTTTTATTGAGTTATTCCTCCCTTTTTTAAGGTAATTATTACTTTTGATTGGTAATAATTTTTTTCATGCTTCCTTTATGTTAGTCCGTAAATTTTGCTAAATTACGTAAAACTTCTTCATTGTCAAATTTGATTTAACTACTTTTGGTCTTCAATAATTTTTAATGCAAAAGTAACAACAACCCGACTTTTCGACACTTATGGGTTATAATATTTAAAAAACCTGACATAATATGGTTTCTATGACCACATCTAGATTGAATGTAAGACATCACTATACCTGGTTACTTTTTTTCAAGCAAATATTGCACAGCGTACTTATCGGTAGTTAGTATCATCTACAAAAAAATCCAAAACAGCTTCCTAGAAAAATATCACAAAAATCATTTAAATACTTAGGTACCTACAACTGTGTTACACTTTTACAAATTAAATAAAAAACGTTAAAAAACAGTTTTCGGGTTTGATGTACGAAACATGTACTCAACAATGTTATAAACGAGTGTAATTTTACTCTCCCCATTGTGTTGAATTCTTTAATCTTCCCGCATTCACACGGATTTACAGCATTGAAATTCGGCAAACAAATAATCATCACTACTCCAGACAATAAAAAAAAGAATCACAAAGAAAGTTCCCCCAAGTTGCCCCAAAGCTAAGTATACAAAAAAAAAAGTACAAAGAAAAGAAAGCACACGACAAACAATTGTAACGCTGCTGATTAAATATACACATATACCAGAAGTACCAGCGTGCCCCCTCTGCTTGTCCCTCTATCTCTCTCTCTCTCTCTCTTTCTCTTTTTCTCTTTTTCTATTTTTGTGACACTGGTTTGTTGATGTGCGGTGATACGCGCAGGGCCTCAGGGCGACAAGGGCGACGTCGGCCCGGCCGGACCACCCGGCCCGCCCGGCGAGAGAGGCGCGCGTGGCAAACCCGGCAAGAAGGTAAGCACCAGCTCTCCGGCCATCAGTTCTCTCTCTCACTCACGAGCTTTTTTTTTCCACCCTCCCTCCCTCCCTCCCCCCAACCCGTCCCTTCCACACGTTGTACCACTTGACCTGCTCTCTGTACTGCACTTCACACCGCCCACTCGTCCTTGACTAGCTAGCTTGCTGGCTGGCTGACCTCCTCGCGTGTGATGAGTACTCGCACGCCTGTTTTCTCCTTCTCTCATCTCGAAACGTCAAGCCGGTGAAAATTGAATTCCAAAGTGCCCCTTCCTCTTTTCCTCGCACTTTTCTCCAGGTGAAAAAATGAGGAGGACTTTTTCTCGCGTCAATCGGCATATTAAATGCACCGTAATTCCAAGTGTGGCGATTTCACAATCGGTTCCCCGGTATAGATCGAATACGCGTTGGAACTGGTAGAATTCGTCAAATTCAATTTCGATGTGATTGCTTGGGGGAAAAAATTTTTATTCAAGGCGTCACGAAGTTCAAGCGTATATCTACCGGTGTGTACTCGTGTACACGTGCACGGAATTCGTTCCTTCGAGCGACTCGGATCCATCGAGTAATTTTCATTCAAAAGAATCTACTTGTTTCGTTACTGCTCGAGTGAATTGTACGTATACTCGATGGATCTCGATTTAACGGAGGTCTTGAATGGAATTAATCAAGTAATGCACAGGACGCTTCCACGGATGCATAAAAATATATATTTACAAGGGAGATTTTATCCAAAAATACCGACTGGTTTTTAAACGTAGCTCCATTTGAGACTCGAGCTTATGTGTCTTCAAAGACGTGTGTGTAAAGAAGATCGACGAGCGTTCAAATTTTTGAAGTAAAAATAAGAATTTGCTTTTTTTTTGCGAATCTATTCCCTCTTCGAAGGTGTACCTTATCAAAATCAATGCTCCTTAACAACGTTTTTTTGATCGATTTAAGAGGTCGAGCTTTTTTCGAGTAATTAAATTGATTAATTCATATTTGATGTTTTTTTTCCTTTGTAGTGCAAAAATAATCTGTGAAAAAGCTGTTTGTTAACATCGAGACCGAGGGTAATGAATATTTTTCAATAAATCAATATTTCGATCTTACGGTTGTCCGAAGGATATCCTCATTTTTTCATCTCCATCATATAAACACTAAAAAAATCTGCTGCAATTTTCAAACCGTTTCCATATCACAATTTTCTTGTTCCTAAAAATTTTTCCTCAAAAAAAAAAAAAAAAAAAAAAAAAACAATGAACAATTAAATGTGCATGGTAGTGACAAATTTAGATAGCATGACCTGTAAAAATGTTGCACTGTAGTTTATTTTTGCTTTTGTAAATAGTTGGAAATTAACGTGTGATGGTAATTACTTATTGCAACAGTACGCATGAAACTTTTAGTACGATAAGCATCCATTAATCACGAATCTAATCTTCTGCACGTACCTATATATATACATCTCGAAACAAGTAAGTAAGACAATTGACGCGTTCAAATAAACATTCGAAAATTTCTAGCTGGAGATAAAATTTCGAATAGCTCAATTTCATACATTGGAAGCGAGCACCCAATTTTTTCTCGTTCTGAATTCCGGCAAAACTAGGCTGGATCGTCGAAACTCGCTATTGTTGGTGGTAACAAACTTCCGCGAGCACAGAGCGAAAAGTCGACGGAAGCGGAAATTTTCAAAACTCCAGACTGCATCAAGTAAAAATCCCACTTTCGCGAGTCCCAATGGGGGAAAACTTCACGCACGAGCTTCACTTCTCGCATATATTCGATCTCAACCCTATATTATAAACTGCGTAAACAGCAGAAAATTTCTCACTTCCACACTCGTGGATGCTTTTAATTCAACTGTGCATTCAATAAAAAAAAAAAAAAAATCTCTGTACAGTTCCGCATCCCTTACTTGCAAATGCGCGCGTTCACCCCCGCATCATTTGACGGCTTTAATAAAACATTTGTCAAGACTGCCGCGCGCGTCGTTGGAATGAAGATCACGTGCATGGCTCGCGCGCGTCGGAGTCGCAGCATGAAGGAAAAAAAAAAAAAAAAAAAGCTTCGCACGGGGAGGACACGTAGCCGCACGACGAGATCCGACACGAGATCGGACATTTGATTCGATCCTCCCTCCGGCTCGCTGCTACTACACTGCCACCGATGCTGGCTTTCCGCGACACTTAATCTTCATCTGTCTCGCGTTTGCTCTCCAGCTTTTTCTCTCTCTCTCTCCTGCCTCGGATATATATACCTACATTTTTTTTTCCTCCCATTCGATTCTACGTCTCTCCCAGTCGCGTACGCTTTTTCTGCTCACCGGACTTGATAAACTCGCGATTCTTTATTTTATTTTTTTCTCGCTCGCCCGCAGGTGGCTTGGCTTTGTTTCTCCCCCCCCCCGCCCAGCATTTGTCGACTGTCGCGAAAAATTTATACGAGCACGCAATGAGCATTACGAATCGATGAGTTGATAGCGCGCCCTCTTGCATCCTTCCGTTCGTTGTATGTGCGAGCAACATCCATTCCCTATGTGCTTCGCTTCTCTTGTTTACCTGCTCTCGCACTCTCTCGCGTATATGCATATAGCTGTGTAAATATTTAGAGAGTATAAGAAGAAGCGAAAAATCAAATTCTCTGTGGCAAACAGGCAGGGAATCGAGTGCGATGAAAACGATAGACCAAAAACAAACGAAGAAGCGAAAAAGTAAAGTAAAGAAGCAAGCAAAAGCAAACGTTGGTGGCAGCAAATAACACGTATATCGCTCGTTCCATATTTTTTTGTTTTATTTTTTTTTTTCCCTCATTCTCGCTTCGTTTTTCTCAAGGTACTGTAGATGAAATGTGTTGGGACAAAAAAAAAATACCCAAGTACATCGAGCGATGTTTAGTCATGCGTATACCTGAGCATTAAAATAATACACAAGCATCGACCACACTCGATCGATTATAAAAACAATCGACGACGATCGTGAACGATAGTTTTTTTTTTTTTTTTTTTTTTTTGGAGGGGTGGAATGGAGGAAAATATTACTGGCTTTGTAAAGCCACGGCAGTGCGTGCAGTGATTTTTTTGTCGTGCGAATGAGTCCCTCGAATTTTTTTTTTTATTTAGATGAAAAAAAAAATTGACAGACAAAACGTTACGACTACCGATAAACCCACTATCACTGTACTATAGCCCACTGTTAATACTACCACAACCGCCACTACTACCATCACGACGTGCCTGAGCCTCTGCAATAACATCGCGCGTAAGTATTGTCTATGATAACCATGTTAAAAGTGTAGCTTTAACACGAGACCACTTTGAGCAGAGAACAAGGTTTTTTGTTTTGCATTTAATGGAAAAAAAAAAATTATAGTATTGCTTGATGAATATGCAACATCTATAAAAACGAATATAAGGCTGCCTCGTTTGTGTTGAAAATCAAATGATGTCGTTTCACAAACAATACAACGATAAGAACGTGCGTATGCGTGTCTAAACCTTTTTTTTAATGATAAAAAATCTAAGAATTTTCATTGTTAAACAAAAAAAAAAAAAAAAATGCGTCAAATACTCGCTCGCGAAGACAAAAATAATGACAACCTCGGCAGTTCGGAAGCACGAGGCAAATGTATATATATGAACTCACACGCGATCATTAAGATCACAAGCGATTAATCACGGACGACAAGAGCAGAGCTCGCCCGCGGAGCGTCTCTTTTATTTTCGCCATCAGCGTCCAAGTGTAGAGATACCGCGGCAGTCACCATCTCCCTTGGCTCCTTGTTTCGTGCACCCACGAGAGGAGTGGGGAAAAAAGTATACGCGCAAGAAAAACCTCGATCTCTGCTCCGAGTACCTCACCTTTTTTTTTGCCCTTCGAGCACTTACGTGTGTATGTGTGTGGGTCTATTGTTTTTATACTTTTATCGCGTCTGCTATTATGTTTTTTATTTTTTCTTGTTTTTTCAATTTTAGACCAATTCTGGAAAATTTCACGTGTCAAAGTATTACTACTAATACATAGCAATCACAAATCAACGGAGATTTTGTATAATATATACACGCACGTACCCACGCACACACGTGCGAGCAAAAGCTGTATTTAGCATACAAAGTGTACACAAATAATTTGAGCTTTTGTATAATACGCGTACGATCAGTACAAACTGCTAGTGGAAGGTATAAAGCCACGCAAAGGGTCTCAAGGATGCTGGGGCTGAGCCCCTGGCCATTCCTCGGGACTCGTAGATATGTACATAGTTTGGGTATCTCTCTCTCTCTCTCTCTGTCTCTTTGCAACTAATTTGTGTTTACGTAACAAACATGTACATTATGTATAACACCCATACCACCAACAACCAACACCACCCACTTACAACTATATTACCACCATCGCACGCCAACACCGATCTCCTTTAAAGCGCGCCTCTCGTAAGTTGTCGTTGGACCCAACATGCTAATCCACTAATACGCCAACGCGCCGCTACGCCGCTACCTATACTATCCACCTCGAGGGCTATAAATGTCGAGGGGAGGCTCTTCTTGGCTTCTTCTTCTTCTTCTTTGCGTCACATTTTTCCGTAAGTATTAATATTTTCGTTTTGACGCACCTTCTAATGACAACAACTTACTGTACTCGAATCGGGCATTTTCCGCGTTACTCAATTCCAATATGATCAACTGCGAATTTTGCGAAAATCGTTGTTCCAATGGATTATAGTCCTTGTCGATGCGAACTGGAAACGTCCGAGTCAGGTATGGTTTGTTGTTAGTAACTGTATTAATTATATGTTTACGTGTACATTTCTTTTACTGTAAAATATTTTAATGTTGTAACATTTATTAGACATATGTAATTAAGAGGATGAGCATGTTTTAACTGGTGGTTATTTCTTTTTTTTTGTTGCTGTGATTTAACATACACGTTTTGGTTTTTTGTACCTAAATTTTTATCACGTATGAAGAACACGTAACAATAAAAATGTACTGTCGTATTTAGTTGTACTGTTTTGATTAACTAAAGTAGATTTTGAAATTTTGGAAATGTATGAATTTTTCAAATAAACCAATTGGTTAACATCGTTTTATCGGTACAATAATAAGTACACAATGATTGCAGTGTTATTAAAAGTCATGAAAAACGTGTGACATTATTGAAACATTTCACGCACAGTCGATACTTCGTTTGTCGATCACTGTAAGCATTGTGTATGTATTTAAACACTGTAACGTGTAACGATATTAATGAAATCAGAAAGAAATTAAAAATTAGAATTTCATCACCTTTTGGATTCATTGACTTCAATTCGTATACATATTAATAATCCAAGTAGAGTATTCATAAACCACTTGTTCGCATCCATAACACTTAACTAAATTTTACGTTTATCAATACATTTTTTTTTTTTCTAGCAACAGTGTTCGTTGTATATAATTATTTTAGTTTACCTAGATGTTGTATATATGTATATTGGTACAATTAATGCACACAACTCCATGAAAAACCGTAAAAAATCCTACACTCCCGAAAAAACAAGTAGTTACAATGAAGGATGCCGAAAGGATAAAAGGCGTCCAAACTCGTAGCTCACAAAAAAAGAAGGGGAGAGAGCCGTGGTGTCCGGAGAGGTGAAAAAAAAAAAAGTGCGAAGCCTTCTGTAATGATTGTAGGGAGACCGAGGCCGCGATGGCAGCCTGACGATGCGAGGCCCAAAGGGTGAGCACGGCGCCCCAGGACTTCAGGGCTCGAGGGGCGAGCGAGGCCTGCAAGGTAGAAAACGCACTACCAGCCTATAAGTCCGTAATCGCAGTATGGTATCCTTATACAGTCTCTATTGTCGCTCTGGTGGCTGGGCTATATAAAACATGCATTACCTCGCTCTACTCCTTGTTTGTGATCATAATATTATGTTATATCGTTAACTATGGACGTATACGTTTATCTCTATAAATATCAAAGTATACCGTTGGTCGTTGAAAGATAGTATCGCCCCAAGTTTTTTCTTTTTTTTTTTTTTCCTTCGTATACACCGCATATCTCGCATCAAGCTGTTGTCGTTTACAGGTTCTACTCTACACTCTGCTGGAGGATGAATCGATGCTTTGGCGTAACAATACATGTCACTATATTACCGAAGCTTTTATTTTAAGCACTTAATAGTTTATCCATACGTTTGACGCACGAGTTCTGAATGTTGGTGTGTTTTTTGCTTATGAATTGCAGGTCCTAAGGGAGACTCTGGAACGCCAGGGTTGACTGGTGCCGACGGGCTCAACGGCGAGCCCGGTATCCAAGGACCTCCTGGATTACCTGTAAGTTTAGTAGTCGAACTGCTATTTTTCTAACAAAGAATATTTTATGGTCTGATGAGAATTCGAAAATATGAGGTGTTTTCATTACTTGATGATACTAGCATGACTTACCCCTTTCGAACGTATAATCGGTCGACTATAGTTAATTTTCCGTCAGTTCTTTAAATTTTAAATAGAGGACTAGTTTTTTGTTCGAAAGACAATAATTTAATCCAAAACGACATCTTCTCGTTAATTGAATCGTCGAATCAAATGAGATGATACGACGACCTCATGGGGTATCATCTCATTTTTTATCTTTCTCATTTTATCAAAATGCTGTTTTTCTCCCACTCTTCGGATTCATGTAAAATAGTATATTATATCGTTATATATCACCGCATCGCAACGATCGTAATTTACGTGCAACGTATATGTTGTATACGCTGAAACTCTAGTTTTTCATTTTCCAAAGTATATTACAACTTAGTCATGGTCCAAGTTTTTGCAATTCAAACCTTGAATCTGCTTACGAGTAAACCATTTTTAGGGTCTTGCTGGAACGAAAGGAGAAAAGGGAGATTATGGTGATATTGGGCCTCCAGGACTTATGGGTCCTCCTGGATTACCTGGACCGCCGGTGAGCACAACTATTAATTTTTTCTCAATTGCTCACTTAAAATTGTTATTTGGGTATAATAATCTTAAATTCAAATAAAAATATATTTCTGTGCTAGGTAATACTTTTATATTTCAATTTTACATGTTTATATCACTATAAATACACCAAGACTATGGAAACAGTGAACACTCGATAGCAAAATTTGTAAACTGTTGTTTAAATTAAACTAATAAATCTCGTTTAATTGGGATTTTTAGGGATACCCAGGCCAAAAAGGCGACAAGGGCGACAAAGGCGAATCGGTAGGTCGAATCATCTAATAGTTGATTAACTTTACGATTATTTGCGATCAAAAATTTAAACTTTGATTTCTTTTGCATGACTCTCTGGACTGGAATAAACAGAAATACAAAAAATTAAGGCGGAGACAGGTAAATAACAATAATAATAAAAATCGCTACTTATGAATAATTTTCGAGCTTTAAGAATAAAAAAAAACTTACTTTTTTTCAAAACTAATTTTAACTTTATGTATCTAGGGTGACAGCACGTTTGAAGTGAATGCTGGTGAAATGACGGGTTCATATGTAAGTTGGGTTGTTATTGTAATTACATAACTTGTTAATTTCTCAATTTCTAAGCTAATTCTAGTAATTATGTTCCTAAGTGTTTGTCTAGAAAAAAATTGTATCTAGATTTACCAAACCAAAGACTTTATATAAATTCATTTTTTCAAAATTCGTTTATGTTTCATTTAAAAATAAAGTGATGAAAAATAAAAATTACTACGTATTTGAAAAAAAAACTTCCTTTCCAGATCATGGGACCTCCTGGACCACCAGGACCTGCAGGCTCACCAGGACTCCAAGGTCCTCCCGGTATTAAGGGAGACCGAGGGCGTGATGGAGCTAAGGGCGACCCTGTCAGTAATAATTTTAACTTTTCTTTCCATTGTAGCTGCTCCAAACTGCGCACTATTACAAATAATCAAAGAAACAATCAATGGCAAAATAAAAAAAAAAAATTATTGAAAATTTTGTTATGGTGATTTTTTTTCTATTTTTCAGGGTGAAAAGGGTCCAAAAGGTGATCCTGGCCCCATGGGACTTCCGGTATGTATACAAACGTATTATAAAAATTTTACCATGAAAAGAACGTCCAAACATTTAATGGTTAATTTATATTTGAACAAAACTTTTCTAAGTGGGTGTATTTTTACCACAATTTTAAATACCGCCAGCACCAAATCTAAAGTTTTAATTGATCTTGAACGAAGCTTGTTAGAATGAATGTTTGATGCAGATCGATAACTAATCAGAATTTCCATTGGTCTACTTCGGTTACTCATTATCGTCGAGTAAATACAACCTCGACGTAATACAATGGCCATCAATCACCATTGAAACTTCGCTAATTAGATGTTGCCATTAAAGTTTCGAATGCCAAAGTAAATGTAGTCAACCAGCGGCAAACAATTACCATTATACGGATGCCCAGCAGATGGGTAGAGCTTTACGATCTTTTCAAGGATAATTAATTTATCGACAGTAAATTCACGGTTTCTTGATAGTGAACAAAAAAATTAACGCAAGACTCCAAGTAACTTAATTGTTATGAATACTGATAGTGCATCTGCCGTAATATTCAAAATTTTAATAATTCTTAAATCCCTATACAGTAAACTGTAAGCAATGACTGTGACAATGACTGCCAATGGTACAATAATGTTTTTAGATTGAAGTAACGCAGAAGTATTATTTTAGTCAATTTTCTTATTGAATTTAATTGTTTTTTACATATACCATCAGGTTTCTCAGATTATTGAAATAGTAACGATCAATCATTTTAAGTTAAGCCCAATTTTGTTTGGTTTTGGTCTGGATGGACAAAGTTTTGTTTAAAAAAAATATGCTCATACCCTTCAGTTAGAATAATCGAGAAAAATTATGCTGATTACCTTATGTAATAGATGAGTTAAGTAAATCGTACGTAAATACACTCATCAAAAAAATTAATTATTTTTTTTTTCAGGGACCGATGGGACTTCGAGGGGAATCAGGGAGGCCAGGAGAAGGAAAACCAGGCACCATGGTAAGATCGAGGAACACTCGTTTGTAGCCATGACAATTATATATGCCTTCGTCAATCGGTCGTTCAGTGTAAAAAAGTTGAACAGTTCACAATGTCGATAATCTCGCGCAGTCACGGAAAACTTTAGTCTAACGTAGGATTTTCGTTAAAGAGATGTAAGAGTACCTCAACTGAAAATTGAAAATTTAGATGCTGACATGAGAATTACAGTATTGCATTGCTTTGACTCATACTCGACAGTCAACAAATGAATAAATAACAAATGGTAGGGTCGGTGCAATTTTTCACTTTGAGAAAATTTTATAGAACTAGTATGACTATCCATGAGCCTAGATTATCCTTTTTAATTTGTGTAGTATTATGGAATATATATATATATATATATATATATATATAAACGTTATCTGCAATCTTAAAAACTTTTACACTTACAAAGTCATATGAAATAGATGTGTCATAAACATTTTTGAAATATCTTAGGATCGATCGTCGTGGTTTAAAATTTTATTTTACACAACCTTGCATCTCTTTAAGAAAACTAATCAACGTAGTTTTTGGTGTTTTTGTGATCATCCTCAGTTTACGTGACTTTTGGAAGCAGAAATAATTTTTTTGCGTGAGACATATTGATCAACTATCACATTCACGTCTATAATCAAAACAAGTCTGATTGTTGTTGCTGTTCTTGAACTATCAATTCTTTACGACTCTATAGTGTCGTATTCACAGATAATTTTATTCCGCGATAAATAGGAAATTCACATCATCAAGTTTGAATTGTACATATATTTCGAAAGTTGTTTTACTTAATTAACTTTCACACAAGGTCATATTATTCCAAACTCGTGATAAGTTAATATGGTATCCATGGTCGGAGGAAACTCTTTGAAGTTACAATTTATTTATTTACACAACCCAAGATTTTTTATCGAGTTTTTTTATTATTATTATTTTGTATGCATAGATATAAAGATTAAAGAGTCCTTTTCTTTTTTTATGCATTATTATTTGAATCCACCAAGGAGACTGTATGTAAACAAAATTTAAAAAATGAATAAATATATAATATTTTCTTTGAAATACAACATTGGCTCGTCAAATGATTATTTCATGTCATATAACTATGCTTTCATTTTGTAATTAGTAAAAATTCATTAGCTGCTTTTTCACGCAACGTAGAAAAACTTGTAAAATATTCGAAAATAAGGATAACTAAGGGTATTCTTGCGGTTTTTTTAAGAAATTAATTTTCAACACATAAGTTAAAAAATTAGAACACTTTTTCTAAACCATCATTCATCTTGTTACTCAATATTAAGTTACGAACTAATAAACGTTTGTTTTAAAAATCTGATGGTACCAACACTGTGAAAAAAAGTTATGTGGTCACCAATTATTTCACATTTGATACTCTGTTAAATAAAAAAGTGTGCTAATTACGTTCTAAATAATCCAAGTTGATGCTTAATTATAATTTATCATGAATTATCCTTTTAATAAAAATAGATAATACATTATCTAATGATTTTGTAACAAGCAGATTACCCGCAATAAGATTCTTAGTTACTCCCACAGTGACTTTTCGATGTCAATTTAAGATTACACATAAAATGAAAGCGTAATATCGAATAAACTATTATTACATGAGCCTAAGTTTTAGTGAATGCATAAAAATCAACTATTGGCATTAGAAACGTCACTGTGTTGTATTAGAAAAAAAAAAACAGAGTAGCTTAACGAAATTCTAAACTTTATTAATAATAGGCTTAAAAAACACAGGTTGGCGCGTGGTGATGATCCGACTAACGACTAACATGGGATAGGTACTACAAAGATAACCGACAATAACCTATCTAACGCAGACCAGCCAGGACTTTGCGGACAGGCGCAAAGAACCTGATCTCTGAATATACATACACAAACAAAAATATTTTAAAAGTAAAAAAAAACAAATAAGTAACGAAACACATGCGTCTCGAGCCTAATAATCTTTAAGCACGTGTTTGTCAAACGAGCAAACGAGAGAGAGAGAGAGAGAGAGAGAGAGAGAGAGAGAGAAAGCGTTTTTCCTCTGTATAATCCAAGTCCAAGCATTAACGCAAAGAATAAAAACCCCTCCGGCATCTCTGGATGCGTCGAATATATATTTTGTCACGGATTCCGTAATCGTATACATGAATATAATTATGTGTAAGCCGCGCTAGTTTTCGATTAAGATATTTGTGAATCTCGTGAAAATTGGCGTGTCTGCCTTACCACTCGATCGAAAGGATCACGTATTTTTATCAAAAAATTGTTTGTAGTTTCATTTAATGAAAAAAAAAAAAAAAAAAAAATCGGAATAATCTTTCGTTCAATTGTACTTACAGTTGAAACAAAAGTTATTACCTATAATATAATATATTTTCTGAAACAAATTAGATTTTTGTAAATGAAAATTATAGATTAGAATTATCTCATTGTTATGAAGTTGCTTTGATAGAAATTTTTAGTTTCTTTTACATAGTAATTTGAAAACTAAATTATAATCACTTATGGTCTAAAGATCAGTTGATTTTATTTTAATTAGATAGGTTTTAATAATGTTTGTATCCGACTTAACATTATCATTAAGTATTCGTAATCTAATTATATATACAAAAATTGTATATTTTTCACCGATATAATTACTACTTAATCACTGTATGATGTAACGATTTGGTCAATGATGCGGTAAACATTAAATATACATTATTCATGCTTTAAGCAATTTAACACCGTGGATATTTATGTACTTCAAAATACATATATCAATAATTTTGAAGCGTTCAATTGTTATTAAAACTGTCGAATCATCGTAATAAGTTTAAAATGATAACATAATTAAGAATTTTTCGGAATCGAGTATATTCCTAATTTTTTATATACTCTCATTAGCTGATTTATCACCCCAAAAAATCATTTAAATGATTTTTATTAAAAAATGAGAAGGAAAATGTAGGTATTGGTAGAAAAAATATTGTCATAGGAAAGACACGCCGATTTCTGCGTATAAACGATATAAAATAACGCCTTGCATGCGATAATGTGTTTATGATGATAGTAGAAAAAGGAAACCAGTTGAATGTATTCATACAAAGATATTTAAATTTAAGCTAAAAAAATTATCCATATCTTCGAACCTAAGCTCAACAGAACACCATAGTTGTTTGTCATTTTTTAAATTATTTTGAATATTTGCCAATATTTCATTAAACGTTAATATAAAATGTAAAGGAAGAAAAAAAAAANTTTTTTTTTTTTTTTTTTTTTTTTTTTTTTTTTTTTTTTTTATTTGGGTCAGTGAGAAAGTTGTTTTAGAATCGTAGTTCAAAAATTAATTGACGAAAAAAAAAAAAATGGAAATCGGTATTTAAATGATTGTGTCAGTGAAAAGGTGGTGGGAGATTTTGTTTTGGTACATACAATTTAGGGGTAGGGTGAAATACCGATATTGGCTTTTATGGCTCAGACATCAGTTGTTAACTGTAAAAGCTGTCCCGTAGAAATTTGTTGATACTACACGCCCACTAATTCACGATTAATCTTCCTTTTAACACTTTTTTAATTTGCATGATATAATTTAGAATAGTAAGTACATGAGTGGTGACTAAATTGTGTTGTTTGCAATATTTGGTAGAATTAATACATCTTTCACAATTTAATACAAGTATTCTGACGAACTAGTTTTTTCAATAATTGGAACCGAAAAAAATCAAGCAAAATTTTAAGAATTTTTTTTCTATAAGTAAATGATTAACGATGAAAAAAAAAAAAAAAACCTTACAAAATTAACCGTCAGAATACTATGGCATCTTGGGATTGGAAAACCGCTTCAAATTATGATTCGTGATTCCCAAGTTGCTACCAAATGAAGGACTACGCACTTTCAAGTATCATTAAAAATTTCGAAGACTTTGCAAGGCTTTCGACCCACGGAATAACTTTAAATTACTTTAAAGTCATTGGATGACTTTGAATGAATGTTTTCATGACCTCAAATGATTTTCCGTGACTATAAAAAACGTTTTTCATTGTTTTCGAGAGTGTGCAGTCCCTCGCCACCACCATTGAGTAATTAGCCGATTCGTCTAACACGATAGGTGTATAAAGTTTGAAAATCCAAGGGTATGATGCGTATGAGTGGGTTGTTAATTGTTTCTCGGGTAGAAAAAAAAAAAAAAAAAAAAAAAAAAAAAAAAAAAAAAAAAAATTATAATAGCATGTTTTATTGAGCTTAGTTTTCGTTGAGAAATGATAAAATAATTCAAAAAAAAGGAAAAGGCCATGTTTTTTATACACATGCTGAAATCAATAATATATTTTCAAAAGTTCTTGATGAGAAACAAAATAATATCATGAACGCGCAAACGTAGATTTTTGATGTGTTTAAAATGTTGTAACTGTCAAATAGTGTTTGAAGCCAACATTAATACACAATATTATACTTGGTGGAAAAAATGGATATTAAATAAAATTCTTGAAATTTACAACTACTTGTAAATAATAAGTAATTTTTGGAAAAGTACAGTTTTTCAGTACAAGAGTTTAGTTGATAATTATCAAAATATATTTTTGTATTTCATAACTGCACTGCCATTGCAGTTGGACTTTCACCGTTGATTTCTTTAGAAGCATCGGCTGTTATTTTAATGATATACATGTCTACGCCTCGATGTTTGACGTATTTTTAGAACATACATTTGAAAAGTAGTAAACATAACAAGTAGTATCAACATACTTGGTGTTACAACATTTTTTTCAAATAAAAAACAAGTTTCGTAACTTTGGGAGTTGACGAAAATTGCAATTATCATATTCAAAAATAAATCAAATTGAAAAAAAATTCTAAAAAAGCATTTAAAAGACTTTCGTTTCCTCCTCAAGTTTGACCTTCGCAACTTGACAAGCGTGAGTCTAGTTTTTTCCACTTGTAAATAAAATGTTGATCTCCTGATCATAGACAGTGCAGGTTGGAAGGTCGAATAACCCGCTAAAATGCAGAAATATCAAATTACAGTATACAGTATTGAAGAGAAAGACAATTAAAAATTGTAAAAGAATCGTGGTACACAAAAGTATTATATGATACAGATTTTATGTAATTTTAAGACGCCATTCTCATTATCTTTTTACTAAGATATTAATTAACAGTTCATGGATACAAAGACAAAAAATGCAAGGTACAGTACAGCTTTTTTAAAATTATTGTTATTGTTACAATACCAGTATAAAGAGTCGATAATATTTGAAATTTTTCAATACCACAAGTTGAAAAAGTTAAGACAAGATGATTTTTTTTCTCATATTATTTAATAATTGAAACTATAAAATTGTTAACAAACGATTGGAAACCTTCTAGAGTAACTACCTGTTTTTCGAATACAATTGAATCACACAGGAATGGCGACTTGAAAAATAAATTTAAAAAACTATTGCATACTCGAAATCGGTGTACTTCTCACGCGGAGCTATTGGCAAAATGAAAATTACTTAACAAATAATATGGAAAATTTCACATTGATCTCAAAAGCTCACACCAGCGAACCGTAATTTTTTTTTTGCAAAAATATCGCTGTTTTCGTAAGGTGTGCAAAATTTTTCGAAAAGGAATGAGTTTAAAAATTTCTTCTAGAGTACTTAAATCAAGTTAAGAATAACGATTGGTTGACCCCTCAAACCTAGATTGAAATAGGCGCATAAATATCAGCTCATTTTTTATCTGACATCTTTGCCACTATTTAATTATCGCATCTTTTATTTAATAATTTCTCCGTTTTAAATAAATTTCAACCCTCCAATGTTTCTGAAAAATTAGAATTTCATAACATTTACCACAAACAAAGTTACACTTGAAGCTATTAAATTATACATTAAAAAAAAAAAAATTAAATCAAATATTTTTTCACAAAGTTTCCATTGTTTGTGATAAAATATGATAGATTGTATGAATTTGGACTTGTTTGAACAAAAATTATTCAAGTACTATCATGAATATTTATGACAGCGCCTAAGTCAATTTAGATTTCCAATATTTCAAAACAGATTCACCCTAAAATCAAAGTGTTGTGAGATGAAAATTTGCACTGGTTAATTATTAACATCCACACGATCCCTTTAAACATAAAAAAAAAGCTGTGGTGTTGGAATACAAAAAATCCAGAAACGTAGTCATGTAGAGGTAAAAAGTGTGCACGGATGAAAAAAGAAAAATTGGCTTTGTACATAATATACAAAATGGGATTAAAAATGTATCGACGAAGGAGCGGGAATCTCGTACGCAGTTCTGTAATGTTAATTGTAATTTAAGTACTTAAACCGATTAGGCTAGAAAATTCGAGAGCAAAAGAAAATTGTCAGCGGAATTTGAGTGATGATGTTCGAAGGCACTGTCGGACTTGATAGGCCCGAATTTGTAAAAAATGAACTTAAGAGTAATGTAATCAAACTAAAATTATCGCCGTAGGATAACGTAGAATTAAGGATTTTAGGGATAATCGGCGTAAGGAGGATAAGAAGCGAAGAGGATGTGCGACTTTAGAAGACTCCAGGAAAAGAAAATCCTCGAATAACAATTAGAAAGACACACGACGACATTACCCTCGACCTATGTATGTTTGTTAATTAAATGATGATTTATGCGCAAGCGTTTTCCGAAGCAACTACTATCTCGAAATGATCTAACGGCGTACTTCGTTATTATCAGCATAAAAGTATGCGAAATAAAAAAAAAGAGATACTAGAAAGTAAAAAAAAAAAAAAAACCGATGTGTGGGATGGAGGAAAACGAGACAGCGCAATTATGAACTTTTGTTTCAAACAATGTCCTGATTAATAAACAGAATGTGCATGTGCCTGAGGCCTTATTGCTTTTTATAACAGAACCCTCATGATGCTTAACCTCTCACATACCTTATTTCTATAATTTTTTACCTTTATTTTTTACTTTTTTTTTTTTTCTTCTCCTTTACTCTCCTTTTCTTCTAGCAGCCAAAAAATACATGATCAGCTTTGCATTTTGTTCTGATACAAGTCAGCGCCAACCACAAAACAATTTGTTTCTGCAACAGATTTGATTTGATTTTACTTTTTTTTATCAATTGATCCAATTGTTCTTTTTATTTGGTTCATAAAAAACATTACGATTGATTTTAAGTTGAAAAGCCACATAAATGAAGATAAAAAATAAATAAATAAATAAACAAAACCATACGGATCGAGCACGTGTTCATTTGCTGCGACCACGAGCGTAAGATTCAACATGAAGTTTTATAATCGCAAAAGCGAAAAAAAAAAATATTTTCATCATAAATGTAGAGAATATTTGGAAGGAAAATAACTAGCCCGAAGTTGCGATGATTCTTTCCCAGGTGAAACCCAAATACTTTATTTTCTCGCTACAAACGGTAGTCTGTAGACGAAAAAAATCATTATTTCTCATTTTGCGCGTCTTATTTTCCTGTGACTTTTACCTTGTATGCTCTGTTACTACTTTTTTAATTTTTTTAGACACTCATTAATTCTCCTTCGGCCTCATTATGCATGATTTTTCTCACAAAACTATACAAAATCGCGTAATTTATTCAACATTTCGCAATATCTTCTTTTTTATTGTCTTACGATCGAAATAAAAAAAGCACCAGTCACGTAAGAAAACTTAATTCTTGTATATCGTAAGGTATATACACTCTTTGTCCCTGTGATAAAAGCACTGGATAAACGCATCATCTCTCGTCACCACCGAAATTGCTCTCTTACTTTTTTTTTTCCATCATCGTATTACTATTTTCCCATGTAGCTTCGAATTTCTCACATCCATCTCTTATCTATCATCCACGTGCTGTTTGTTCTCGCAAAATCCGCTACTCTCTTTAGCTGACCGGCTCTCTAGTCTGCCTATACACATAGACGTAGATTTGTAGTAAAAAAGGGCGTCTTAAACGTCCCACTAGAGCTGTTGATGCGAATCTTTGCTATCTTTCTTCCTACTCATATATTCTACCACGAAAAAAAAAACTATTGCATCGCATACGTCTCTATCAGTTGGTTATGCAATGTCTACTTTTTTGACCGAAAAAAAAAAAAAAAAAAAAAAAAAAAAAATTCAACGTAACCGGGAAATACATCCGACACAGTAGTTTATCTGTCCCAGCACCCGCGTCCTATCCATTTTTTCGTCGAATTTCACTTGGTTTTCTCTACCTTTCAGGGCCCACCTGGATTAGACGGTATGAAGGTAAGCATCGACGTTTACACGGCTTTCTCGTTACGAAACACTCGGCGCTCTCGCATTAACTTGTCCTTTTTTTCTTCCGCTCTTTTAGGGAGCCCAAGGCGAGCCTGGTACAAAAGGAGAACGAGGAGAAACGGGTTTGCCCGTAAGTACACACACGCACTATCTATTTTTCACTTGATTTTTTTTTTTTTTTTTTTTTTGTGCAGTGCGCCTAGTTGAACTGATTTCTCGTAGCCACAACAACGATAAACCTTTGTGATTGTTGGGTGCGCGCACTAGAGTAGCGTTACCATTTGATTTTATTGTCGTTGTTGTACTCTAACATCGTTTACAGATTAACATTATTTTGTAAATACTCATTGCTTGGTGTAAAATACAATAACATTGTAGTTGTCGACTAAAACTGAGCTACTGAAATTTCCACCTTTCTAGGGAACTGACGGGATTCCGGGTTCTGAGGTATATATGACCCATGGTGTTGGTGGTATCGTAACACAATTTTTAATTACCTGTAATACTAAAGAAGTTTATTTTCCCACATTGAACGAAAAAAAAAAAAAGAAAATAGATCCATATAGTTTAAAAAGCTTGTCAAATGCATGCAATTGAACAAGAGTATTACCTTATATCACATCCTATACAACTCCCGTGAATCCCAATTAGACGACCCGAAGCGAGAAATACTAATACCAAAACCATTTCTGCCGCCTACATTGCAGGGACCAAAAGGTGACGCGGGACTAAAGGGCGATCCTGTAAGTATGTGGGTTCAGCATAAAAATAATGTTTAAAAAAGTACTGGGACGCACTCTAATTAGATCACGTAGAGACAAAAACTCCCTGGGGGATGATGGTTGTTTTCCCCCGAAAAAAAAAAAAAAAAAAAAAAAAAAAAAGTTAATCCGCATGAACGACGCAGCACTCGCTGATGTACGGTGTGTTATATTGCTGCCACCAGTGCCTACCATTCGGAGTATATAGTAGCACTATAGAAATCGCGATGAATTTCATCGTCCGTCCGATTTGTGTGCAACAGATTTTATGTTGTATGATGAAGAAAAAAAAAAAAAAAAAAAAAAAACATGCGAGCACAGCTGTAGCGTTAACTGCAACAAATAAAAATCGCCACGAAAAATTTTACATACACGTATAATCATGCATCGTCTTTCACGCATCTCTTCTCTTGGATATTCCATCAACTTGCTGTGCTGGAATTCATTGTGCATCAAATAACATCGTAACAACAGTCGACTGATTTTTTTTTTCCTCCCCATTCCTACTACGATTAAACACACCCTTATCTGCATCTAACCAAGCTTGGCCTTCAACTGCACGCACACACGCCCAAACTTTTTCTTCTTCGTTATTGGTAACTATACATGAATATTTGTTTGCTGGTCGGCGAATTCACGCGAGATCCGCAACTCGTATCACTATATAAATTAAATTATTCATTGGTAATACTGGAATCGATTGAGCTAATAAATTCACGTCTGATGTAAAGTACTTTCGTCTTTGACAGTTCGAAATTCCAATGAAACAATGTTATCGTGGATAATCTCGCGTTGATCTCGCGACTGCAATCAAATAATCGAAATGGGGAAGTGGTGGAAAAAAAAAAAAAAAAAAAAAAAAAAAAGAAAGGGTAGCCGGTTGAACGAACGAAGCGGCTGCAGGGCGATAATGCCCCGGCGTAGACGCGCAATCAAGGCTTGCACGTTTCCAGGGACCACAGGGCAAACGCGGCAAGCGCGGCGAGAAGGGCAACAAAGGCGAGCAGGGCGTGCCAGGACTTGACGCCCCATGTCCCGTGGGACCCGACGGTCTTCCACTGGCGGGCTGCGGCTGGAGACCGCCCAAGGTAATTTGTGCTGCGTCCTCTTTAGCGTCAACCTTTACACTACAACACAATGGCAACGTTGCTACGCGTGGGCATTTGATTTACCCATCACATATTACACATCGATAGCGTATGTTATGATGAACTGCGCTATGAACTGCTCTTGTCCGACCCGTTGTATGCCGATCTGCTAGATTATTGCGTGCTCACAGTGTGGTATTTTCACGGAGAGTACCAAGTTCCTTTGATTTACGGGATAGTTGGGGTAAACTTTTTGTTTCTTGTAAAATTAAAAAACCACCGATTTCGCGCTCAACGGGTAGTTTACTAATTTTTTTTTTTTTTTTTTTTTTTTTTTTTTTTTTTTTTT